GTGGGAAGGGGAATGGAGATCCACCAATGACTGTACCTGCCTAGAGCCAAACTTGCAACGTCTGTCCTGGGCAAGATCAAGTCAAAGACTGAAGATCACGGTCCAGGACGGGCGTGGCAACTTTGGCTGACTTGATCTGATTGGGCAGGAATACAGTCTACTACCCAATGGTGGAGTCTCCATCTCAGTGCTGGAGAACCACCAAGTCAAAGAACACCAAGGACCCCACATTAAAATGATTATTTTCAAAATTTGAAGTTTGGATTTTTGGGTGTCCATGCAGCTATTTTAAAACAAACACAAAAGTACATCTTAAAGAATAGTTGGGAGTTTGAAAATAATTACTTTGGTCTTCTGAATCTGCACTCTAAAGAGGTTCTACCTGAGTATGGTCTAAGATCCTTGGCAGTGGCAGAAGAAATGCAGTGAAGCACCACTGCAAAAATGCTGGCATTCTCAAACATAGGCTTGCTGTGGAGGGAAAATCCTATGATCAGATCGGTCATTCTTGACTTGACGTTGGAACGAGAATGCTAGAAATAGAAGAAGAAAGTTTAACTTTATGCTGTGCATTCTCAGGATTTCTATCATATGTTTAGGTTTTTTAAAAGACACTCTTGCCCAAATGCTCCATCTGTAGAATGGAAGTCTATACAACTGTTGCAAGCGTTAGAAATGGAAGGATGGATGCCAACAGAAGAGATTAAGAATTGTGTTGTACTTTCTAGTAAGTTTTGAAGGGTACAAGCCATAGAGATGAGGTTTTGTGGAGGCACACTTGTACAGAGGTGTATGTACGTTTGGAGGAATCCTAGTCTAAGTAGATTGCAGGAAATGTGGCATTTATAAAGTTAATGGTTTGGGATGGTTTATTGGGAGCCTAATAAAGTATAAATTGAGGCTAGATGAGTGAGCTTTTATTAGCTTTGGATTTTTTAGGTGATGGATTAGGGCCATGCATATTATATTATAGCTTAGTGACTGCTCTCCATTTTCCAGCCTGCTTGCTCTTTTATCCACTGCAGGAACTTTGCTCTGGGTGGTCTCTGAGCCTTTGGGAGGGGGGTGGATACCATGTGATGGCAATGATGGTGTCCTCTCAAGTTACAGGAGTTACATGTCCTATTGAGAGCGGCTGCTTAATTTTACAGCCGGGTAATAAAGAGGATATAATTGATGAGGAATGCTAAACTGCATGTCTGGTTTGAGGCTTTTGGGGGAAGGGCCCAGCCAACCCTCTTGGACCACACCATTTTTTCACTGGGTTAAAAATGCAAGCCTGTCCTTTGCTCTGACTTAAGCAGGGTTGAATGCTGTTACACGGTGTTCTGTCTGCTTAGAGGTAGAATGTGCTTGAGGTTCAGCCTGTTCTTGCAGGAAATATTTCATTGGAAGGGATTCCATCATCTTCAGCGTGTATTGCCTGGCGATACAGGATTGCAACACTGATTCTAGATGACAAAGAAGAAAAGTTTGAGCATAACAGCATGTTTTTCCTAGTCTCTTCTGCAGAACCTCTCCCCTCCCTTCTGCACCCCGTCCAAACAGGACAGTGTTTAGTTAGGAATCTTTTTTGTAGATTCTTCAGATGCAGGGCTGGAGAACAGGCCAATCGATAGGCAGAGAAGTATAAACATGAAGGAAAGCAGAAGCTGGGAGAGGAGGACAATGAGCCCCAGAGAATGTGCCGATGCTGCAGCCCCATACACTCATTTCACAGCCTGTTTTGGTATTCACTGAAACCTACTGGCAGCCACCTGCAAAGGACAGTCATTTGTAACTTGCAGGTTCTGGTTTGGAAGTGCAACTGGGACAGAGATAATACCTAGAGGTGCATATCAAGTCTCACAGTACATCCTGGTTCACACTGTTGAGAGGTTTAAACAGGGCTAGTCACCTATAGTCTATTCAGGATGCAGCATAGTATGGACATTTCCACTGTTCCATATATTGCAACAGGCCTCCGTTTCTCTGTTAAAGCCTTTACAGAGGTAAGGAAGAACATCTGGACAACCCAGATGTTACAGTCAGCTGTAGAGGTGATCCATGGTGTTTCTTTTGTATGCTCTGATATGGCGAATTTCTATGTCCTTTAGGGGCAACATATGAGCACTTTCATAGATGGGGAAATCCTGAGTGCCAACTGCTCACAAGCAAAATCTCATATGCTAGTATAGAACTTGACTTTGTTGTTACCTGGGAAATGATGTCCCTGGGAAATGATGGCCCCAGAGCAAAACAAATTTACTGTCCACCCCACAAGCCTATTGGAACAAGTTAGTTTCACTGCTTTACAAAAGGCAAGTAATATTTGGTGGGGGTGCTCTTGTCTCAGGGAACAAGGTATTCCCTAAATTGGGTGTCAAACTGCTGGCCCGGGGGCCGGTTTCATCATACCAGAGCTGCGCCCACCCCATTGCCGGCAATGGCAAAAAAGCTCCGATACGTCGCGCGAGTCACGTGACGTCGCGAGTTTGACATGCCTGCCCTAAATGCTAGCTGATACTGAAAAGGTGGAGCTTTGTGCCTCCATCCTCTTAAACTCATGTGGGAAAGGGAGTCAGAGCAACTCCATTCAAGGTGGGCCAATTCTGGCTGGGAGAGCCAGTCCTGCAAGTAGATGTTTGACAATCTCTGTAGGTTTTAAAAGTTAAACCAGAATTTTCAGTTGGTTCCTGAAGCTGATTGATAACTAGGACAGTGAACACAGACTTCGCCCTGCTATAGACCTATTTCTTCCTGGCTGTGCATTTGGGACTGTGAAATTGTATTTTCCACTAATATTAACTATTGCTACTCTGACTGAGCAGCAGGATAGCCAAGAAGCAGCTTTTATTGGTCAAGTTCATTTCTCCTAATTTGGTAAAAAATGAGTCAAAATATACTTCTTTGTCTAGCCACCTCTCCCTTATTTAGGATTATGGTTTCACAGTTGCTTGCCTTGGTAGTGCTCAATCACCCAATCAAAACAAAACAAAAAAATCAATGGGCTAAAATGTTTTTTTAATGGGCCACTCATCCTGATTATTCTCCACAGGAGAAAACAGTCTTTTGTGGAGTTGCAGGTGGATCTCTCCTTTTCCACAAGTAACATTTGTTTTGTTGCAAACATCATTCCATGGTTCAAATTTACTCATTCTGTATGGTAATTATTTCAACATTTTGCTTTAATTTTAGCTCACAAAAGACTTGCAAAATGGCTTGCAGAGTTAGTGAAAGGCAATTGATTACAGTCCAAAAGACATAACACAAGGGGGGCAGGAGTAGGAGTTTTAATGATAATCATCAGTTTTCTCCTTGACTAGACAGACTTCTGGGGTGACCAGGAAGAGATAGTACAGTGTTTCTCAACCTTGACAATCTTAAGGCATGTGGACTTCAACTCCCAGAATTCCACAGCCAGCAATGCTGGCTGTGGAATTCTGGGAGTTGAAGTCCACATGCCTTAAAATTGTCAAGGTTGAGAAACACTGAGATAGTAGATGCTGTTCTGTTACTCCTGCTTCTGTTAAAAAAAAGCTGCTCAACTTAATGGATGCAGTGGCTGGCTTACTCAGTATGCAACCCCTACTTTGAATAAAGACTTGAGTTCTGTTACTATATATGATTGCAAGATACCTAGATATAGGTGTATATTCTTAATTCAATAGTGTAATGCTTATTTGACTATAGACTGATCACTGATAGAAGAGAACAGTTCATTTCTTTTATATTTGACTCTTACCATTTATTATTACCTTGTTGTGCTGCACTTTCTGTGGTTCCTTCTCTCCCTNCCCCCCCCCCCCCCCCCCCCCCAATTTTGTTGAAGCTCATCAATCTGTTAAAGTGGCTGACCTGCTCATCTTGCCCAAGTTTCTGCATCTGGTTCTAATTAAAGTATTCAAGGATGTAACCCTCTCCCTGCGTTCTCTCCCACCTTATGGCCTAGGAAAGATTAAGGCTGATTAGATGTTGGGCAACAGAGCAAAAGTGTAAGGAGGAGTTATTTTTATAAATACAAAAATGATAAACACATCATTTTGTGTACATTCTATGTTTAGTTTCCCAGTCTTGTAAATGCAGACTTAAAGCACCTTTAGATTGTGCTGCATAGAGTTATCCACATAAAACGAATCCAGGAATATATTAAACAAGGGTGCTAGGGGTCACACCTGTGTAGTAGGATGCCTAAGTGAATTATTTTATGGGGCAGTGGTGGTGGTAGTTGCTTATTTGAATGACCTAATCAGAAATTCCCTTGCCTTGCTGAATTCACTTGCTAGTCGTGTAAGTGCACTTGTGATGTGAAAATCAGTATATGATCACCTTAGTATATGGTCACTTTAGTCCTCGCAGTATCAGGAATGTTTAACAAATCATTCAAGGTGCATTGAAAGCAACCTTTTTGTGTATTAATTATATCTAATATTCCTATTGTACGACTGTGGTACTGAGGGAATGAAGACAGTCTCTTTCTTTTATCCACAACTATCAAAGATCTCAGTCTAATCAGTCTCCATTGTTTCAACCCAGGTTTATTTTTTAGTTGTTTTAACCTGGAGGAGCAATTTTCAGAAATAGGTAAAGCTTTTTGGATTCTTTCTGCTCCATTTAAGGCAGATTTGTGACCATAGGATAATTTTTTTTATTGCAGTTGTAGCCTTGGGGATGGAAGGAAGATTGAAAGAGGAATACATACAGTCCTCAACTTACAACTATCTGTTTAGTGACCGTTCAAAGTTACAACAACATTGAAAAAAGTGACATCACCATTTTTCATACTTCTGACTATTGCAGCATCCCTGTGGTCACGTGATCAAAATTCAGATGTTTGGCAACTGGCATGTATTTATGATGGATGCAGCGTCCCAGGGTCACGTGATCATATTTTGCAACCTTTTGACAAGCAAAGTCAATGGGGAAGCCAGATTCACTTAACAACCGTGTTGCTAACTTAGCAACTACAGTGATTCACTTAACAACTGTGGTAAGAAAGGTCATAAAATTCACTTTACAAGTGTCTTGCTTAGCAACAGAAATTTTGGGCTCAATTGTGGTCAAAAGTCAAGCACTACCAGTAAATTATTTCTCCCTCAAAAAGGCCTCAAGAGGTGAAGATAGGTGGTTTCAGTGGGTTTGCTGTAGGCAGATCATTTGCAAAATAGCAAATACAAAGAAAGCTGGACTTACACTGGAAATTTCCTTTGGATTCTGTCCAAGTTTAGACATTTAAGTCTGGCAGAGAAAACCAGTCCAAACAGTAGAATTCCTGACATTCTCACATGCACAAAGGATTCAGCTCTTCCCACTCCCTGTTCATTTTGTTAGGGTACTTGAATTAATATTATTTTCTCTCTTTTCTCCTTTCAACAAATATTTCCACCATTTCCTGATACTTCACACAATTTGTAGTGGGGGAAATAAGTCTGATGGGCATGAAAACCAGGCTCAAATCCCAGTTCTTTTCATTTTAAAATAGTCTCTTAAATTCCAGATTAACTAATCTAAAAATAAAGGATATTATCCCTGATTTTGAATTAATGCCTTTTATTAGAGACTCTGAATAGAATGTAGCTTTTCCAGCCAAACACAAAACCACATTGTCAATTTCTCAAACATGAATATTTGTACACTACTAAATGTAGCAATTTCATTTGCCCTTTAACAACACTACTTTTCTCATAACAGACCCTGCTTTAGTGGTGATTTCCTCCTTTGTTGTTTTTTTTTATGAGGGTAGGGCTAGACCAGGGGTGTCAAACTGCTGGCTGTAGGCCAGATGCATCATAGCGAAACCGCGCCCACCCCATTGCCAGCAATGGCAAAAAAGTCGCTATACATCACAACATGTCCCATGATGTTGTGAGTTTGACACCCCTGGGCTAGACCAAAGCATAGTAAAGCAGAAAGGAACAGCATTAGAAAGAAAAACAACTCACTTGGTCAAAATACAGGCAATCCTCAACTTATGACCACAATTGAGCCCAAAATTTCTGTTGCTAAGCGAGACACTTATTAAGACCCCATTTTATGGCCTTTCTTGCCACAGTTGTTAAGTGAATCGCTGCAATTTTTAAATTAGTAACACAGTTGTTAAGTGAATCAGGCTTCCCCATTGAATTTGCTTGTCAGAAGGTTGCAAAAGGTGATCACATGACACCGGGACACTGCAACTGTCATAAACATGCTCAGTGGCCAAGTGTCTGACTTTTGATCACCTGACCTTGGGGATGCTGCAAAAGTCATAAGTCACTTTTTCAGTGCTGTTATAACTTCGAATGGTCACTAAATTACAGTAACTGTTGTAAGTCAAGTACTACCTATACAGTACTCAGTTTCCTGTATTCTCAAATTTATCTTTTAAAGCTGTCCTGTATTTGTATACAGCAGACTGTATAACTATATATTGTCCTGTTCTTCAGCCTTGTGTTTTTTTAAATGTTTAGGGATTGCAACTTCCGCAACTGTATACTATTTATAGTTCCAACATCGGTGGCACCAGAGTTTTGGGAGATTTCTCTTTAGGTAATCTGCCAGAGGAAAGTGTAAACTTTACACCCTACCTGCCTGTCAGTGTTACTAAAAGGATGAAATTGCATCAACCTAGTTCCTCGAAACAAGGATGGGAAGCAAATTTAATAAATAGGTGAAGTAATTTGAGAAAAAAATTACAGAGATACTTGGAAATTACCAATTGGAGAAGTTTAGGAAGTGAATAATAGAGATAAAAAGATTTGTGTGTGCCTAATGTAAGTATTAGTATTCCGTATTCAACACATTTTTTTCCTCCTTCTGCTGAATTGAAGGCAGTGTCCATTGAGGCACTAACCAGATAGAGATTTCCTTAAATATTGGTGTTTGTATATCTATAGCAGGCATGTCAAACTCGCCCAACATATCGGGACGGTTTTGCCATTGCCGGCAATGGGGTGGGCGTGGCTTCTGGATGACGCGTCCGGCCCACGGGCCAGCAGTTTGACACCTGTGATCTATAGGAAAAGAAAGACATCTTAACATAACAGTTGTGAAATATTAGCTATTGAATGTTTAACAGGGAATACCTACTGAACACTATAATGACCATATTGTAATCTGGCAATTTTTAGAACAGATTTCTAAAACTGTTTATATAGTTACAAGCTATGTATAAAATTAAAGGCTGATAGGGTTTTCCTGGATGAAAACAAGAACCAAATCATTCCTTTAATGTGCAAATTTGCTTTGCCATTTCTACTCGTGCCTTGCAGTGTATAGGTTTGTGTTTTTTACAAGAGCACTCTCATGTTGCATGGAACGCTGATGAAAAGCCCCTATTGTGGGATCTACCTCAAAAGAAAACAAACAAAGGTTGTATCCTCCATTTTACCCCCATATTGCTGAATTAGAACTCCTAGCATATTTCAGTTAGGATGCTGAAAGTTAGGAAAGGTGTAATTTAGCAGCTGCCTGGAATATATTTTTCATTTGTTTAGGCTTTTCTTTTTCTTCTAATGTTCTAAAGGCATCATATTTTACAAAATGTATTAAAATCTATATATGCATTTCTTACAATGAGATGGTCTAACATGAAGTGACATTGTTGACTTTTGCTTGGCGAAAAGCAGTACCAAAGCTGCAGTTCTATTGTTCAGAAGGCACGTGTGTAGGAGTGTGTCTCTGAGCACATAGATACGCACACATGTCTCTGTGTGTATCCAACTATATCCTTGGAAATAGAAAACAAAACTTATCATCTCTCTTCCAGGATCATAAACATATCTAGGGTGATCACTGATAGATAAAAACAAACATAACAAGCCAGGCTTGAGCACCATTGGAAAAAATCGGGAAATAGTATTTTCTTCTGTCTTGCACCAGCTAATGATAAAAAACATGATTATATTTTGTGCTAGGTACAAATTGCCTTGAATGAGTTTATCAGGATTAGATGATATTTTGTTATATACAGGTAACAGGACAGGCAACCTTTAGGTGAATAGACATTGTAAATATTTTTTTAAAATGTAGGATTATGACATATTGATGATGTTAAAGCAAACATTTCCCCCTTTTTTGAGATTCAGCAAAAAAAAAATTAAGTCTAGACCAGGGGTGTGAAACTTGCATCGTCACTTGACGTTCGCGATGTATCGTGACTTTTTTGTCATTGCTGGCAATGGGGTGGGCGTGGTTTTGCTATGATGCATCCGGCCCACAGGCCGGCAGTTTGACACCCCTGGTTTAGACAGTTGAATTTGGTATATATTAGGCTTAGCAATGCTTTTTTTCTAAAAAAAAAAAAAAAAAAAAAAAAAGGTGCCGGAACTCACACACGTCATACAACCCGCCTTGCCTACCCTATAAGGTTCCATCCAAAAAAGGTGCCGGAACTCCGTTCTGGGCGTTGTATGAGGAAAAAAGCCCTGGGCTTAAGAGGAGTCTTATTTTTTAAAAATAAAAAAAATCAAATGGTGACTTGCAAGAAATCTCACCTTTGTAATCTTGGTGGACCTTATAGACTACAAATATTGCACTGATTGCCACCTTACTTTACTTTTCCAATAATAAACATTGTTTATACATTGGATATAAAAGGAAGAGAGTTCTTCTGAGCATGCCTGCTATTCCAGATTCCAGAAATAAAACACGCCTTGAATGGCTGGATACCAAACATGCAATTCTTGTAATTTCTAATATCTATTTGAATCCTTCTGGCAAATTGGATGAGAGAAATAACATTGAAAATGCTCTTGATAGGTTAGAAAACAGAATAAACCTTAATATAATTTATGTAAGGTTATCTATCCATGTAAGAATCAAACAATGCACAGCTGTAGAATGAGAGGTAACTGGTTTGATACTTGAAAAAAATATTAAGACAGCAGTTGATTGGAAATTGAATATGAGCAGTGTGATGTAACTGCAAAAAGGCAAAGGCATTTTTAAACTGTCACCCATGAATGGTTGTAAATATGTTGCTTTTGTCTTCTAAATAAAATATAGTCTTGACTTGAAACTTAGACTGAACAATTCTGATAATGGCTGTGTTGGACAAGGTACCAAATCACAGTTGAGCAATATAGGAATGAGCCTGGGTAAGCTTTGGATTTGTGCAGCTTTTTTTTTTTTTTTAGCATTTTAAGTGGTGCAATTTTCATTCCTTTTTCATTTAACCTAGTTACTTTATTGAGACTGAGAATTATAATTAGTATGGCAAACATCGAGTGGTTTATTATGCTTCCTTAAATGGTCAAATGATGATCAGCCATAGTTTCTTTTGTTTAATATAGCATGTGTGTAAGTTTCACATGGTGAAGCCTTCAAACTTCCTTATAACATATTGGAACAGAAGAGGGATGAAAGGATGTAGGACTTGCAAAGAAAACACTAAACAGTAATTTGATTATAAAACAGTGCTGCATGTGGTTTTTGTTATATATTTGTTTTGTCCATTAAATGTTGGAAGAATTGAAAACAAAATCGTGAACACTACAGGTTCAGCTTGAATTTCTGAAAGTAGCAAGGTATATTTTATTACCTTTAGTTATATTTTAATAGAATTTTAATAGAATATTAAATTTAATTCACTTTCATGAGAAAATCTAAAAACTGTAAGATTGAGAATTTGATTGCAGTTTTAAAAAGGAATAAACATGGCTAATATCATAAAGAAGTTCTTTGAATTATACATTGCTTTGGCTAACCAAGAAACACATAATTGTTGATGTTTAGCTGGTTGGGAAGTGAACTCTTCTTGAAAAGAATGTGCTCATCATGCTCCTATAGAAACAGCTGTTCCTTCAACTGAATTGCTGGATATTTTATTTTACTTTATTAGACTATTTTAGATTTTGTGCATCTTGTTCCATCTTGCATCAATATTCATTTAGTGGTGGGCTGGTTCAAAGTAGGAAGGACTTTTGACTGAGGAAAGATGAGCACAGACTGAACTCATTATCATCATCATCATCATCACCACCACCACCACCACCACCACCACCACCTGGTTTATTGAAACTAAGAACAATATAGCAGCTTTTGGAAGAATTTGTGTGTGTGTTTTTCTGAAGCTTCCTGCTTCCCTCTAATCTCTAGCTGGAAAGGGATGGGGGCAAAGGGGCATTGCTTAATGTCATTAAGAGCTCGTGACTCCAGAAAGAGTAGTGTTAGCTTGTAATTAATCACCTAAGCTGGCTTTTGGTAACAAGTCTTTATTGAGTAGAAGTTTTGAGCAACAAGATGCTCTTAAGAGCTTGCAGTGAGGGGCAGACATTCCAGAGATGCTTTTTTGCTCTAGAGAGACAGAAAGACATATGAAGGAGTTTATGAAAAAGCAAATGAAGAACAGATTTGGGAAAGAAATTCCCAGTTGTTCAGATAGTTAAAAGAGTGAACTAAGAGTTGAGTATTAAGGCAACAAACAGCATGGGGAAAAAAGAACATATTGAGGCACTGGAATGACATGTCACCCAATGCTTGGGTGGCTAATTCACGTTCCTCTAGCCCAGTGATGGCAAACCTTTTAGAGACCGAGTGCCCAAACACTGGCCTGCCCTCACTCCACCCCCTGCCTGCTCCCACCCTGCCTGCCCGCAGGGCCACTCACCGCCTCCAGGGCCCGCCGCAGATCGCCCAGGCAGCCCAGCAGCACCATTGCAGCCAGGCCCTCTGCCCGCGCCCCACAGCATCAACTGTGCGCGATGGGGTGTAAGGGCAGAGTCTTGTCTACACTGCCTGGCTGCCATGTCCTTGGCTGTGCTGCTCCGCATGGGCCACGCTCGGGGGCGACTCTCCTCCAGGGGGGCTGCTGGTGAGGAGGGGGTCATGGGGGAGGCAAGGCTGGGGCAATGGCACGTGTGCCCACAGAGAGGGCTCCGAGTGCCGCCTCTGGCACGCGTGCCATAGGTTTGCCATCACTGCTCTAGCCTAAAGCTGGGGAAAACTCTCCAGAGACTTTGTTTATTTTTAAGTAAGAAAAAAAAAAAGCTCTTCCCTTATCAAAACACCAGTAACTGCTTACAGGACTTGGCACGCTTAAAAAAAAGAATTGCTTATCAGTTCTCTAGTTCCTAAGCTATCCAACTGAAATGTGTCCTGTTTCTGCTTGCTTATCTCACCTATGCTTGGGTTCCTTTTGAGGTTCTTCAAGAAGGTGACCTTCAAGACAAGATGGCTGGCAGATTGGAACTGACCTACCTCTCGAGCTAAAAATATCACTCTGGAACAGCCACAATGAAAAGCTTGAAAAAAAAAACAGCATTTGTTATTTATTTTGCCAGATCCACACATGACTTTTTGGCTAGGAAAAGCAATATGCCATTCTTTCTGAACATGTGAGTTATAATCCAACATGCACGTACAACACAGGAATAGATTTCTCATTTGAATTCTTTATTTGCTTCTGATTTGTATCATTACGAATTTGCTTAAATTCAGCTAATCAATTTATTGCTTTCAAATGTTAGAAAATAAAGAGTTATGACTGTTGCAACAGAATTCGTTCGGAATGAATATCAAATAAATTCTACTCCTATTAAAAGAATAAAAATGACACTGCCTTATTGAGTTTAGCTATATTCCTATTTTTTTTAATGCCCATTTCTCCTTTGAGATTTATTTCCATATACTGTATCTGAGCATAATGGAAGTGAAAACTGACAACAGTATTTATTAGACATTGAATTAACACTTGAGGCAAATTAGGCATCGCTTAGCCAAAATCTTGCTTTCATATCCTGCTTGTTGTCTTTCTGGAAAAATCCTGCTGATTTCTGTTGGAAAAAAAAAGCAGTAAAAATGGAAGCTCTGCTCTGAACTTTATGTAAAGGTTTTCCTAATCTCAGTGAATGAGTATTAATGGGGATACTTGCAAATCAGAATGGCATGGCTGAAGAGTAGAGTTGGAAATAGGACACATGGCCAATTCACACAATACAAACTTTTAAAAACCTTCAGCTGTTGAAGAAGCTATTGTGGCCAGTTTACAGTTAATACTAAGCAATAATTGGGTGGAATTATACATTGCAACTTCACCAGAAAGTTCTATTAGCACCACATGGAAGAAAACTGATACAGGGACATTTCCAGATAGGATAGATATTGAAAGTTCTATTCTACTTTTCTGATTTGAAATTGGAATGATTGTTCTAAGTAGAAGAGAAGGCTTAAAGCACATTTCTTAAACTTTTTGCTCTTAGGACCCTTTCTCACTTTTAAAAACTATGGAGGATCCCAAAAGAGCTTGTGTTTGTATGGGTTATATTTATTGACATTTACTGTACATATTAAAAATGAAAATGATCCAACTGTTAAATATTTATTTATTGAATCATGCAAAAATAGCAATACCTCGCCCATCACATGTTAACATATATAAACTATTTTTCATGAAAACCTGTTTTAACAAATAAAAAACAACAATGAAAAGAGTAATAGTGCTCCAATGTTTACAAATATCTTCAATATCTGGCAAATAATTTTGATGATGTAGATCCCTCAGCGGGGCTTAGAGGAGCCTCAGGGGTCCTTAGACCACACTTTAAGAAGCGCTGGCTTAAAGATTAAAGCCACTGGACACTGGAGCTTAAAACATGATTTTACTTCTTATTCTATCCTCCCTCCTTTCTCCCCAGTTCTGATGCCATAGGGGCAATACAGAAAATGATGTTCCTGTTATTGGGTTACCAAATCTTGATAGGTGGGTGTTGATTGGTATTGAAGGGATGAAGCCTACAAGCCAACCTGCCAGCCAATCAGCCTTCAATGTATGAGAAAGTAGACAACTTTATTTGGAACCATGACATGAAGTAGCAAGCGCAGTCATGGATTTTGGTTAGTTCAGAGTAATAGACTGGAATTAATTATTTCTCTTAAGAAAATGCATTGTTTCCTGTTAAGATTGTCAGTTGACAGAATATTGTTTTGAGCTCAATATGGCAATATATCATCTGAATAGTTTGTAGTTTTTTGTAGAAACAAACCACATGATTTGTCGATAAAGATTCTCAATCATCCAGGCAGAGATGTCTGAAGATTGAATCATTGAATCGTTTTAGGGGAGAATCCCCTGAGGTTGGTGTGGCAGGAATTGGTACATTCCAATTACTCTCTGCCTAACCACCTTGCTCTGACTGAGGAAGTTGCCTGAAATAGGCAGTGAAATGTCTCTGATACTAAAAAATTAGTCCAGTTGAATTATTCAGCCTTCCGACAACTTTCAAACCACATGATTCAGAGTGTCAATTCTAGCTCCATTTTTTCATCCTTAGTAATATATATTGCTTCAGATATAGATGCATGTTTTGTTCTAGGTCGCATGAACTTTTGTGAATAAATGGTTTCTACTCTATTCTTCCAGCTGATTATTCTAGAGTAACACTCATTCTTCCAGCTAATTATTCTAGATCAGTGTTTCTCAACCTTGGCAACTTTAGGATGTGTGGACTTCAACTCCCAGAATTCTCCAGCTAGCATTGCTAGCTGGAGAATTTTGGAAGTTGAAGTCCACACATCGTAAAGTTGCCAAGGTTGAGAAACACTGTTCTAGATAATACTCATTCTGTCAGGTGATTATTCTAGATCAGGGGTCCCCAACCCCCAGTCCATGGACCAGCACCAGTCCACGGCATGCCAGAAACTGGGCCGCGCAAACAAGCAAAGCCCCATCCGTGGAATGCAGGCAGCACATGAAACCACGCTCCCTCCGGAAAAAACTCGGAAAAACCTCTTTCCACGGAACCGGTCCCTGGTGCCCAAAAGGTTGGAGGGCTGGTGTTCTAGAGTAATACTCAGTTTTTATCATCTGGGTTGGATTTCCTTTTCCATTTCAAATGCCATTTTAAAGTAAATTCTGTTATTTAAATCAGAAGTTGTTATAGGGAATTGTCAGAGTTTTGTTTGTCCTTATAGAAAATGACTGATCTTGTCTGGGTTTTTTACTATTTTATGTGATATCCTGTCTTTCCTTCAGGTCATGATATTAATGGAGCACTTGAACCATCAAACATTGACACCAGCATCCTGGAAGAATACATTGGTAAAGAGGACTCACAAGATATGTAAGTGTATTTTTTTCACTTTTATTCTTAATACTCAGTGACTAGAAATAGATACAGTCTTTATATTATCTCAGAATGGCAAGATGCACATATTACACAAATGGTTCAACTTTTCTCCTTCAGTTCCGATTTAGATTCCATCTCTGACATCCCAGCATCAGCCGGTTATCCTCATACTCAGCCTGCTGGCTCTGCCACTATCAATGCATCTGTCTCCAGTGTTGGTCATATAATTACTCCTGTACCCAGTGGTAGCTTCCATCATGGTCCCCCAAGCACGCAGGTCCCAGTTCGTCATGGTCTCCATCCTGGTCCTTCAAGCAGTCAAGTTCCCCTACGGCACGCTCCCCCCTTGCCAAATCCATGTGGGTCCAGTTACAGTGCTCATCTCAACTGCAACAACAACAATGGCATGGTAGTACCCAAAGGGTTTCTCAGTGGCCACTGCCTGTCCAACATTGCCCCTCCAATCAAATCAGAAGCCTCCTACACATCTGGGTAAGTAAGGGATTGTGGTTATGCAAATATATGTTTTCAGAGCCTTAAACTGATAAATAATTAAAGTGATTAAAGACTTAAAACAATTTGAACAAATCTGTAATGTCTCTTACCAACCAATGTCATCTTAGTCTTCAAACAACAGTTTTCAACAGATTCTGTATATTTTATTTATTTGCACTTTTGGACACTTTGAATACCTATTTAACTTCATATAATACACTTTTTAAATACAGTTAGGATTAGAGTAGAAGTGTAAAATATGCATTTTGAATAACAACAGCAGTCTTGCAGGAAGCTGGTTATCTGGTAGAAAAGTAGTAGCTGCTAACTACTGGAGGAATTGGCTTAGAACAGTTTAATTCACATTCAGAAGATCCACTGGTATTCTCTCTGATATCTTTAGAGAGGGTTAGGAAAATTCTTTCTGGAGGGCTGCTGTCAAAACCAACATTCTAGATTAGAACTGATGAACAAACTAGTCAATAGCTAATTAGATGAGCACATGCTAACCCTAGTGTATGTTCTAAAAGGAGCAGAACTTGAATAGTTCAAAGGAGAACAAATGGGATTGAAATAATAAGCACAAATGAGTAAATGTAAGTCCATACTTAAGCTCCTGGAAGTTCCACAGAATTATTCTGCTTATTGTTTGTATCAATGGTTTGATTTCAGTTTGACTATTGATGCCTGGTCAGCTTTTACAGAATGTGGTTTTTACACACATTTAGAGAATGCAGAGGGATTGGACAGGGAGACTGAAAAAAAATACATGTGACTCAGTTTTAGGGAACTGAAATAGATCATCTGTGGGTTTATATTATAAATCCTTTTAACTCATATGTGGAATCCAGATTAAATTTAATTTTTTAACAGAGATGGGATATGTTATTTCAGTGGAAAAGAGAATTGAAAAGATTTAAAGGAATTATATATTTGCTGACTTCATGCAAAAGAGAGTATAAAGAGAGTTGAGACAATTAGAGAAGGAATTCAGTTCTAATAAATGGAACACTGAATCTTAATTGCAGTTTGGTAGGGATGTGTGAAAATAATGCCAAAATAGAAAACCACAAGACTGTATAAGATAGACAGGAAATAAAAAGTTATATTATAAAAAAAATTGCCAGAAAAAATATTGTGAAACAAAAGTGACCAATAATTCAAATTTCTTACAGAAACCATTATGCTTATAAAGTCAGCTACATAATGGTTTAGCAATGCTTCCTGTTGACAGAATGATTCCACAGAACATTTATGGATATTCTAATCTGCTAAAGAAGTATGAGTCACAAAATTTAAAGCATGAAGTTGGTGAGATTGAAGCAGAAGATTAGTTAGACTGAATTGACTCCTATACAAGAGTTAAAAAAATGGAAGATGGGCTTGAGAAAGTAGATAGATCTGGACTTCACTTGCTAACCTGAGATAACACTATATTTTTGGTGTGTGTCCTGAAGATGTCTTATACCAAAATGCACCATTAGACCTTTCTTATCTTAGACTGACAAGACTAGATCATGGTTTTGTATTTACAGTTTTTCCCATCAAATAAGAGGAAATATATTTATCACCTATAAGGAATGTCCCTTATTCCAGTATGTACCTTTACTTCATACTGTATTTCGCACCTGGGATTGCCAGTGCAGCACCTGCAGGCATTATGACAACTGTAACACCACTAGATGGCACTCACGCACCCCAAAATTTTAAAAAATATATGCTGAAATCTCTTGAGATTTTGACCATTTCTACTTTTTAATTATTGAAAGATAACCACCACCAAAAAAGAACGTTCTTTTCAGTCACATAAATATTGACAGACAAATCAAGATGTTTTGGCTTGATTTTCAAAACATGCTTATTTTGATAAGATTAGGGCTACCCCAAGTAACTTTTCAAATCTGGAAATCCTCGATCATGCATCTGGTCTGTAAAAGTCATGCAGAAATGAAATCAAGGTATAGATCTGGGATATCCATAAGACGCCCACTTGCCAGCTTGTCTGTCTTGGCTAATTGCCTTTCAAAATACTATTTAATTTTTTAAAAAAATGGGAAGCAAGCATAGGTCTACAAAGCAAACATAGCCTTCTGCATCATCTTTCTTCCCCATGAATAAGTTTAGACTTTACACGACTCCATACTCAGTGGCAGCCCTAGATAGCTGCTAGGCAAATCTTGCAGTTGCTGCCATTATTCACAAATCTCAAGAAGAGTTTTGATTTCCCCCCCCTTGAAATTTGGTACCGTGTTTAACTTGGTGTCTTAGAAGAATGCTGAGTTCACCTCTATGGGCCTTAACAATCTTTAAAAAATTAAAAAAGATACGTAACTGTAGGTCAAACTTTTGTTTGAAAGTATACCCACCTGTAGAAAAACAACAACAAAGTAGGCAGTACCTGATTGGGGGAAAGTAACATACTGATAAATCAGTACTTAGAACAGTGGTGGCGAACCTATGGCACGTGTGCCAGAGGCGGCACTCTTGGGCACGCACGCACGCACACCCATCGCCCCAGCCCCCCACCCCCTGTGGCCCCCTCACCAGCAGCCCCCCAGAGAGTCGTCCAGAGCGCAGCCTGCGCAGAGCAGCGCAGCCAAGGACATGGCAGCCGGGCAGTGAGGACAGGACTCCGCCCTCATGCCCCATTGCGTGCAGATGATGCTGCGGGGTACGGACAGAGGACGTGGCCACCATGATGCTGGGCCACCTGGGCAATCTGCTGTGCCGGGCCATGGAGGTGGTGGGTGGCTCTGCGGGCAGGAGAGGCGGGGGCGGGGCAGGGGCGAGGCGGTTTTTGGGCACTTGGTCTCTAAAAGGTTTGCCATCACTGACTTAGAAGATTGCCTTTGGTTGGTGTCCAGAGGACAGAACAGATTTCCCCTGTGCTGCCTATCTTCATTTTTAAGTTTGCGTCTCACATTCTTGTCTTTCTGTTTCAAATTAAAATATATTGCAGTTTGCAGGTTAATTGTTTCACTGTCTTCACCAAGCTTTCTAATTCTTTTATTAGACTAAACTTAAATACTTTTGGTGCCTTAAATCATTCTGATATAACATATATTTCTCTACTTTCATTTTTGTCTTCAAGTTTTCTTAATGTCAAAACTGTATCTGCTTTATGAAACTAATGTTTTCACTATTTTTCTGTCATCACAAAAAGTAAAGACTCTGGACCTCTAGGCAAATTGTTAGGTCCATTAACTTTAAGTGTTTACATGAACTGTGACTAAGGGCTTGATTGTTCAGTGTATTTTAATAGTCTGAATATAATTGTGAAAAATCTATGAACTTTTTTTAGATAGATAGACTACAGTGAGTGATAGAAGGAATCAAAACTGTATTCTACAGTTTTATGAGATAGCGTTAGGTTCTGAAAGATGACCTATAATATTTAAAAAAAACAAATTGTGGTATAGAAGAAAACAAATGCAAAAGTCACATAGTAGTAGTCTAGCCAGAATTCTCAACTAATGATTAGATATTGTACTGTTGTTAAGTGTAGTGATCTGCTGTTCAGTTACCCTGATTATCCCACCCAAGTGGGAAATTCAGAGTTGTCCTGAACTGACTCTCCATTAACTCATTTTCTACCTGGGTTTTACTCTATTTTCTTCTGTACCTCTTCACTTCCAACTGGCTTATTTCTGTTTACTTGACTTTGCCATTCAGTATTGATAACAGTTGTTATCAGCTGTTGGAAGGTATGTATAGAATCAGAGTTTTAAGGTGGGACTGACCTCATTGACCTGTTAGAAACTTGCAGAGCTGCCTTATGGAAGAATATATTTATTTTGAAATCCACCAAGAACTAGCTGTTAATTTTGAGGAATTCATTTTCAATTTTGCTTTAAAAATGACATTTATTGAAAATATTTTGTACTTTTAAGGAAATCCAAAAGAATCTAAATAATTTCCTACTTTGTTTAGTAGTCTACAATGTTCTTTGCAGACTGAGGTAATACAAATATATTAGTATAATCACATTGAAAAATACATAACTATTTAACAGAAACTATAAACTTTGGCCTCTTTTGGTCTAATAATTTCTCTGTTTTATATGAGTTTGGGGTTTATGTGTAGACTGTTATACTTTTTAAATGTTGCATTGTGGTATTTAATATACAAACAAACAAAAAAAGAATAACAATAGGCAAAGTTAAAAGAAGACAGGAAAAAGATAAAATGAACCAGAAAGAAAACTACATGCTGAAATAAATATAAATATACTTAAAACAAAAACAGTTTAAACCATCTACCACATGGAATAATATTGATTGGACTTTACAAAATGCCAGGAGAAGGCCACTTTATAGGTAGAAAGTGAATGCATGTCTTCCATTTAAATTTTTAGATCAAATTTAATGTTCTTTTCATCTGTTTAGCTATATTCCTTCCACTCATAGTAAATCAAAATTCTTCATATTTCCCTGTGTTACAAATTTCAAAATATATTACATTCACACTTTTATCTCCTACTTCTCTTTCCACACACTATTAGCAACCCTATTATGAATAATAAAACAAAATGTTGCCACTGCAGAACAAACTCAAAACATATGAATCCCCTTGAAAATATTATATTTCTAACAGAAAAACTGAAAGCCAACCCATATTATATATTCACTGGTGTAGCCTGCAAACACACCCCCAATAATCCTTTTTTATATTAATTTTACCTTAAGCTCATAGAATGCTAACAAAACATTCTTTAAAACTCTAGCCAATTGGCTTGCTAAAACAGTATTTTTTCAAAGTTACTTGCAAGTTTTCAAATCTATCCTAATATTTTCTGTTCTGTATAAAAATTACCTATAAAGTAATCTACAAAACATTTTCCCCAATATTAATATTTAATGGTTTGGAATGCTGCTAATGCTTCAGGCTCAACTTATATATTATATTTATTCTTTCCTAAAAGCTGATGTAGATTTTTAATCATTTATTTATAGTAATATTAAACTGAGTTAGACAATTAAGAATATTAATCTGTCAGTGAGGAAATCTTTCTACAAATAACTATTCCAAAGTACTGAAATGAGTTCAAACAAAATGAATTTTTTTACAAACATCCATAGAGATCTAGATACTATACTGTAGGAAATATATTATACATTTTTTCATTATAAGAATAACCTGATAATTTACCATAGTGTTGTACAATATGCTTAATTTTGATAAAAAGTTTTAATAATTATCAGGAAGACATAGGGATAGCATTGCCATATGACAAAAAGTTAAACTCTAGTGCAGCTGTCTTGATACCCAAAGTATACTTAGGTTGCCTAATGCAGGGGTCCCCAACCCCTGGTCCGTGGACCGGTACTGGGCCACAGCATGCCAGCAACCGGTCCGTATGAACAAGCAAAGCCCCATCTGTTTGATGCAGGCAGCACACAAAACCACACACTTTCTGGTCCGTGGAAAAACCTTTCTCCATGGAACCATAATAGGTTCCATAATAACAATAGGTTGGATACCACATTGTAATGCAATCAACTAAATTGAAAGGAAAACCATATCTGAGAAAAAAATGCTTCAGAAATTTTAACTGCATAATATCAAAGGCTTTTTTCATTTCCAACAAAGGAAACATAGCCATATCTGATTTATCTGTTTGTGTACCAAATATATCCACTAATAATCTAAAATTGTTCAGAACTCAACACCATTTTATAAAACCAAATTCTCAGGAGGATGAACTACAATTTGAAGTGCTTATGGAAAAATAGTGGTAAATATTTTACCACCTTTGTTTTAAAAAAAATTGAGTGACGCATATAGTCCTTAATTTACCACAGTTGGGACCAGAATTTCCGTTGCAAGTTGAGTTGGGCCCAATTTTACAACAACTTTTACAGTGGTTGTTAAGCAAATCACCACAGTTGTTAAGTGAATCACACAGTCATTAAGTGAATCCAACTTCCCCAATGGGCAACAAAAAAAATTGCAAATCACGATCATGTGACTGCAGGATGTTGCAACCAGTCACAAATGTGAGCCAGTTGCCAAGTGCCTGGCTTGCACTCACACAATCAAGGGGGAGGTACAGTGGACATAAGTCCAAGTACAGGTCATGAGTCACTTTTTCGAGGGCCATTGTAACTTTGAACAGTCATAAGTCGAGAATCTTGTAGTTTGTTTACTGTACAGATCCACCCACTTTCAGACTTGCAAGTATGAAAGCATTGTTAAAAGAAAGAACTTTGTATAAAAAGGCATCATGTAAACTTTCAGCTTCATATAAATGAGAAGGTCAATGAAATCCTTACACCTGTCCTGTGTATAGAAAAACCACCAGGAATAGAAGCTTTGCCTAATTTCACAGACTTGATCCTGAGGAATCTTTGGAGAAGATTATTTTATTTACAAAAACATTAATTCATATGCTCTGTCATTCTTGTGTTAGCTTTGCTTGAAATTGCTTTCTATGTAATCTCAGGGCTACTTGATGAAACTACAGCTTGACCCATAGATTTACAGAAACATTGTCAGTGGGTCCATCTTTGTATGTGTGGTGAAGATGGTGACCTTCTTGAGCAACATATTCTATCTGGCTTCTTTCAGACAAGGAAAACCTGCTGAGTGAAGTAGGGTGGTTCTCTTTAGCAGATAAACAAAATACCCATGACATGAAATGCCTAAGAATAATATATCAAAATGCTCCTAGCAGGAATAGTATAAACCTAGTATGAGAGAATACCTGCTAAAAACACCTCAATCTTTTTCATTGGGGAAGGGCTATAGTTAATTGTTTGGAGTGTTAAGGTTTCCTGCTACTCTGGGTAGGAACAGCTATTGACAATTAAGGGCTTTGGTGGAAGGGAATCGTTACTGGATGACCTGCTATATTTGGAGATAAGATTGAGTTCAGGTTCAGAAGCATTTGTATTCAAGAACCTTGAGGACAAATGCATGACAAATTCATAATTAATTTCTGCTAACCAGGGGTGGTGTAGATAATGGGGCTATATACTCTCTCAGTCATTCTACCTAGCATTCAAAATCTATTTTACCTTATCACTTCTGTTAGACATTTGTTTGACCTTTTCCTCTCTTTTTCTCAATTGCTCTTCAGCACTTTACCCGACTCTCCCCCAGATTCCGGATCCGAAGCTTACTCCCCCCAGCAGGTGAATGGTAAGTGCTAAGATTAGAGCCCAAGCACCAGCCTTCCCCCCCTCTTTGGTTGGCAAAAGTGGTTGGCTCTAAAATCTTTATCAGAAAAGGGAAAAACAGACTGCTGCAATACGTGAAGAGATTATCAGTTAGTAAATATTCTTAGACTTTTGCCTATTGTTTTCCCACTACCCTTTTAGAAAGGGGGGGGTTGGGTGGGCAGGACCAAGAACACAAGACTGCGTGGGAAGGGAAAGGTGTACTTCTGCCTTCCCAGAGAGAAGGAGAAACGGATAAGAGTGACCTGCCCAGTGAGGACACGAGCAGAAGGATTAAGCCTCCTTTTGTTGGGAGAACATGCAGTTAGACCTCCTACAGGTTTATATAAAGACAAATCCATGCTGGAAATGAAGAACAAAACAGAGGTATTGTCATGAACTTGTTTTTAGGTGGTGAGTATACTCTGTGGCTCCTCGCCCTCTCTTTGTATGCTGTATTTGATGTCAAGGACTCTCTTCCCATTCTTGTGACAGGCACAGAAGTCGTAGGTACATCACAGAGGGTGGGTCTTTCTCCCTCTCCCCCTCTTTCTCTCCCCACGCCCCCTTAACCAGATGGTGCCTGTTCTGTGCTGCCCATGCTTTATATGTGCGAAAGGGGAGAATTATGTGTCACTAGCTACTTTTGTTGTCTTTTTCTGAGGTTGAGACAACAGAATTAGCAACAGAGGCAAAAGAATTAAAAGCATGGTCCTGTCTGTGGCAGCCTTCAGAGGTTTCCCCGTGGCCCCTTCTTTTAAAATTTAAACCTTGTTGGTTGTGGAAGCAGCTCCTTCTCCTTTCTCTGTGAAAAAGGTCAAGAGTTCTTTTTATCTCACTACAAAAATCCCTGGAATTCCTCCTGGCCCATTTTTAAATATAGCCAAGAGGCCAGAGTATTTGCCACAGAGTGAACTGCTTTCTCTCACCATTAAAACAACAGCACCTACCTCATCATCCTGGGTTGGGTGGGGTGGGGGAGAGAGGATAATTGGAACTTTAGATTTTTGGGGTAATACACGAACTCCTGGAAGCTCTGGAGTATGTATAAAGAGTTGCATTTGTGATCTCATAATTTCTAGAATTCTTCTCTTATTTTGAGAGAGGCGTTCATCTTGAGACGTGAAAGACGAGATAGCTTTTAGGAACATATGTGTTGCCTCAGCGTTCATTCTACAGTAGTAAGTTATTCCATTCGATTTTCAAACAATAAACATTTGGATTTGCTGTTGCTCCTATGGGTGTCTACTTAGCGTATTACAAAGCCTAAAATTGTTTGAAAATTGAAATTGTAGTAGGACTTCAGTATCATCTAGAGTACAGTTCTGTGACCACACCTTATCTTGAAGTAGTGAAAAAATAGTTTTTGCTAAATATTTTCTTTTGTCTGTTCTGAAACAGCTGCCAACCATTGTCATTCCTAAAAGTTCTGGTGCAGCTGGGTGTTTGTGGGGAGTGGGGGTTGTGAGATGGGATTTCACCATCCTTTGTCATTTGATGTCATTTCTAAGCTGCAACCTTTATTCTAACGTTAGCTTATTAATAAACATATTTTAATTTGCACCCAACTTCACAATAAGCTTTTGTCATAGTTATTTTTTTTAAGAAAGGAAATGGGGGAATGCTATATACTATTTTTTTTATTATGTTTTATGTCGGCCTCCTCTGTGTTTAGTCCTCCTCCCCCTTAATTTCATAATCATTTTTGCTTCCTCTGTTAATGCATCCTCAGAAGAATCTGATTAATTGCCTTCAGCATTAACTATTTCATTCCAGTAACTTTAAAAGATTGTGAGGGCGCCAAGTCTGAATTTGTTTGAATGGAATATTTATTTTCCGAATTCTCTTTGTTATTTGTTTTCTGTGGGTGGATTTTTTGGAGGAACCTTTGGATGTTGGGAAGTCAGAGAATAATGATGGGAAGAAATGAGGACAAAAGGATACCTATTGGATGAACTGAACATCTTATTATTTTGCACTCATCATTGTACTGTTGATCAGTGCAAAATAATAAGACATTCCCAGTTATCAAACTGTGGCCATCAGAATCAGGATGAACTCCAAGTTGGGATGAACTCACACTGCTTGCTTCTCATATGAGCTAAAATATGTAATGGAATAGTTTAGGCACCCAGTTTATTTTCACAGCACTGCTAAATAAAAAGTTTGGTTCAAGGACACTATTTCATGTTTGTTTTGTTATAGCCTGCCTTTCAAAAATGGTTTAATAAAATGTGCATGAAATCCACTTTATTCGTATTTATGTATACACATACCTGTACATATATACACATATCATAGGATAAACGCATACACCCATATAATATACATCTATAAAAATACTTTAATATTGGTTTAACATTTAAGTAGCTTCTTCAGTTTTGACCATTTTTAATTACTGGTCCTAAAATGGAATGTGCATAGTTAAAAGTGCTGTTTGACTGCAGGGTAGAGATGGAAGAATGTATGAATTGCTGGTCTTTCTGAGCCATAATAATACTTCTCTTATTGATTTTGCTGGCCTGAATAGTGTTATAGTGATCAAAATTAAACCCTCTTCTTCCGTTCTGAATCCATGTGTTACATTACAATCACATCCTGTATTATGTGGGGGTGATGGACAGTGTGTTCATCTGGGGGGTGGCCACCAGATTGGAGAAGGCCACACTAGTAAGCTTGGGGAAAACCCAATATCTCTAAGCAGATTTGTCTTTTTTATCTCCCGAGTATCTTATAATTCAAACCATGTTAATTCTGGCTTTGAATGGAACCTCTTAAGCGTTAATAAGAGTGTTAGCCCTATACTCTGACAGAGCAAAGCCCTATGTACATTTCCAACTTTAAATCAGGCTTCAAAGTTAAGTAAACTTTCGATCTGTTGTACTAAGGAGGGATGTGAACTTGAGTCAAGGGCTTTGGTGAATTTCTGCAGATACTTTCTACAAGATATAGCCTTCTAAATGAGATAGACTGCAACTTTCACTTGTTTCAGCCATTAGCTATGATAGCTGGGGATGATGGGAGACACTTATTATGCCAAGCACCACCCTTAAATGGCAATACTTTCTTCAGAACGTTTGCTGTATAGCAGGGGTGTCAAACTGCCAGCCCACGGGCTGGTTTCATCACACCGAAGCCACGCCCATCCCATTGCCTGCAATGCAAAAAGAGTCGCGATATGTTGCGACACGTCACATGACGTGGCGAGTTTGACACCCGTGCTCTATAGTCTGTCCCTGTAATGTAATTACCTTTACAAGCATTATGAGCATCAGAAATTATAGGCCACTCCTAAAAATTATAAGGGGATTTGTTGTATTTTTCTTTTTTGCTAACCAAGTGGCATGCAGTGAGTATTTATGATCGGAAATGATTATTTGCTCAAATGAATAAAATGGTTCCTGTATGAACTACTTTGAAATTAAACCTTGAACAGGATCCATCGAGCTCATTTTGCAAACATGTTTATTATTTGAAACATAGAAAAGCTAAGAGGTTGGTTATTAATTTGCTTCTATTCCAAAATAGAAAGTTTACTGTCTCTTTGTATGGATCCTAGTGTATTTTTATCCAACAGTTCATGCTTTTTCAGATTCAGTATTGTCTTAAGAGATAACAGATCTTTCTCCATTACTAAGTTATAGAACTAGACACCCATGTTTGAGCTGACAAAGAACCGATAACATTAAATTTGCTGCTCCCTCCTTAATTCCTATTCTCTCTCAGGTCTTAATCACTGCCAGTAATTCAATTTTCCTTCACTAGATAATGTCAGAATAAGGTGGAAAACATTACTTCAACTTCAATATAGTTAAAGATGACTTCAGCTTATCTCATTCATGGAGTTGGAATGAGAAGAAAGTAGAATCGTGTGTGTGGTAGAAAAAAGTTCCTGGGGCAGAACTGAAAAGAAAGAAGTCATATGATAGGTGCAGCTTTGAATGGAGAGAATAAACAATAAAGTGGAGTGGGAAGGGACTTATAGTGAGTAATAAAGTAGAATATGAATGGTGAATAATTACAAAGAAGCTGTTAATATGTATTTCTGGAGAGAGTAATTAGTAGGAGACCAAAGTTAAAAAATGTAGTTTGCTCCCTATTTCATATTACTGCTCTTTATTTCTATAAACAAAGTCAGAACAAAGTCAGAACATGAAATAAGCAAATATTAATATTTCCTATGATATATAAACATAACTAGCTCTAGCTTTTTTCCATCATGCAGAAGGATAGTATATCAGACCAGTCATATAACACATTTCTCTGTTTGGCTTTCAGCAGTCTCTGATAGCGTTTTTGCTGGATTTGAACTTGCTAAAATCTTTTATTTTTTATGTTTATTCTTATTCTTTTTAATTTATTCTAGACTACACATAATTATATTTAAATGCTTTAATTGTTAATACATTTTGTATAATATACATAAGACACAGACGTGCATGCACACAAGCCATAGATGTGCACACACATATTCATACTAGCTGTTTCCTAAAATTTAATTCATTTGATAGAAAACTAAATTTATTTCTCATTAAGTAATGTGGTTGAGTATTTGGACTTATTTTACTAATTGTATGCATGCACATGGTGTCTGTCTGTCTGTCTGTCTGTCTGTCTGTCTGTCTGTCTGTCTATCTATCATCTATCTATCTGAGTATGAGCAATTGACAATCCTTGGGCCATAAGCAGCTCCTAAGCCATTTTTTGTGGCTGTGGGATTGGTCAAAGTCACACTGCTGAAAGTCAGTGACAAGCTGTCAAGTAACATTAACAGTTTTGTATCAAATGGCAGCAAGAAATAAACATAGCTTCAGTGAGCATCTATTAAATTTAGTACCCCTATTAATGTATTTTTTAAATATAGAAAAGGGCTGAAATCTGGCTATTGCCCTTTACAAATGTTGCTGCATTATCGCCATGCAACTCCCAACTACTGGTGAAAAAGCTGATAATCTACTTGTTGTTTTAATGAAAGCTGAAACTCTAAAGAGAGAGCCTGGAATGTCTCTATTATTGAACTGACATTTTGTATTTATTATTTTGTGCTGTTCTGACTGAGAGCCCAAATGGGATGATTGATCATAGTGTAGGACTTCTGAAAAAAGGAAACTGACACTTTTAATTTAGATTAATCCATCTTTCTGGTTCTTTTTAGATCCTCACCTTCTTCGAACTATGACTCCTGAGAATATGTGTCAAATTACTCCCCCTTCACGGTTAGAGCATCCCCCACCCCCTCCACCCCCACCCCACCTTCAGGGACTGCCACCACCACCTCCTCATTCACACCAGCAGCAGCACAGCCATCACTATCCCAGCATGCAACGGGACATGTACGCGAAGGCTGAACCTCTGATGCCACAGTTCACTATAGGGCAAGGCATGTCACCTGGTGACCTCCATCATGCTCAGCAGTCGCAGATGCTTCACCAGCTACTTCAACAACACGGAACAGAGTAAGTTCTTTGGGAACAAGGTTGGAACGGTAGCAAAGGAGGGGAGCGCCTTTATGACTGGAACCTTTTTGCCTCTTTATGCTTGTTTCATTTCTGAAATAATGGGCAGCTTTAAGCTCGCATCGCCACCTCCAAAACTGGTAGGGCAACAAACACTTTTCTTAGCTTTTTTTCCAACAGATAATCTCTATTCTCCTCCATTCTTTGGCCTCCCAATGGCCAACTCATTTTTCTGTGCACTTTTATCTCCTCTTATCTCCTCCTTCATTCATGCAATCTAACAGATTTTTTTAAAAAATTCCTTGTATTGCTGCACAATTTTTCCTAAAACGTATCTTTGTTTCTACCATTATTACCACTTCCTGGAACATAGCATGCACAATCATCAGCTTATAGTTTTTCACATTCACAATAATGTATATAACATCAATTCAAACTCTGTGGCATATAATTTAGTTCTTTCATTCATAATTAAACCTATATTTTCACCTTTGTTCGTGAATTCATCAATATTAACAATATGAAACTAACTCTATTTAAATTGATTACATCCTTCTCCTTTCCATTAGTTTCATAAATATGCACAACATATTTATTTTTCTTTTTTGCATTTTTTTTATTTCATGCTCTTTGCCATTTACTCCTCTTATATTCAAAATCACAGAATTTCGTATGCTGTGGAGAACCCATGGAAACTGTCCTCATTATCCAATAATGGATTTGGTCAGCAGAGGCTTTCACGTAATATTTTTTAGTAGAAGTTATAGACTAGATCTTAAACATATGTATGCCACATGCAGCATTTACTGTTAATGATAAGAATAGTATAGGTCAGTTTTGGATAATATGCCAGAACTGCAGTCAAACCAAGTTTTATCCCAAGCATGTTTACATTATTTTATGCAAACTAAGATCTCTAATATAGGGACCTCTTGAAAGCCAATATGCTGTTGCCTACATCCTACCAATTAGAAGCCACGTGCCGTATATTGGTGCATAAGATACTGGATGACATTCATTTTTTGCTTCATTATATAACCATGTCAGACTGTTATTACAAATGCACGTAAGTCAGGGTGTGACTTTAGGTTGAAGGCTAGTAATCTAATTTAATCTTTCCTACTGGAATAACTTTATGCCTGGGGTAGAAGACGTCTGTGTGGGTATATAATACACAGTATATGTACACACACACACATGCATACGTAGGCTAAATTTGAATAAATATTTCCTTTGTATGCCTGTTGTAATTTATGATTGATTTCTATAGACTTCCAGTGCACCCTGCCAAGAAGAGGAAACACTCAGAGTCACCATCAAACACTCTCAATGTGCAGATGTTCAATGGAATGATAAAACAGGAGCCAGGTACAGGATCTGTGCCCCTCAACTCTGACAGAGTTCAAACACCTCCCTGGCATCAGCAGGGGGCGCTCTCCCCAGGTTTGTACTGTAGTTATTCTTTCTATTCCTTTCTAGGATTACCAGTACCCAGACACTATTTATGCTCCAAAAAGGTAGTTTTTTAAAAATTAAGTAATACATGGAGAATAAGGGATGGTGTCTGGGCTGAAGCTCACAGAATGGCAGTGTATTTTCTGGAGAGCATCTTTGTACAACTGCATTGGGAATTGGAAGTGAGAAAAGTCTCACTTCTTTTCTTAATAAAAAGAAAAGAAAACTGACTACAGTTAGTCTTCAACTTATGACCATTCATTTAGCAACCATTCAAAGTTACAGTGGTGCTGAAAAATGCGACTTAAAGACCATTGCTCATGCTTTCAACGGTTGGAATGTTCCCACTGATATGTGATTGTGATCAGGCACTTGGCAATTGTTATGCATTTTTATAATGGTTGCAGCGTCCCACAGTCATGTGATCTCCATCTGTAACCTTCCCAGTCAGCTTCCAACAATGATGTCTTGCTTAATGACAAGATTTCTTGTTCCAATTGTGGTTGTAAATTGAGGATTACCTGTATTCCTTGAGGTCAAGGCAAAGAAAATAAAAAGTTACGGGTTTTGTTGCATAGCAAGTGAGGGATGGAAAAGTAGGATAAATAGTTTGTATCAGGTTTGTAGGCAAATTTCAGTTCAACATTTTTTCTATTGCTGTAGGACTGATTCAGGATAATGACAGCTTGAATAGCTCCTCCTACTTGGATCCCAACTACCAATCCATAAAATGGCAGCCACATCAGCAGAACAAGTGGTCGACCCTGTATGATGCTAACTACAAAGAGTTGTGAGTATTTACAATCAAACGACTGTAGACTCCTCTGCCTAACAGTTTCAACAGCAGGGTCCACTCAAGACCATAGTGCTGATGAACAGACATTTCACACCTCACAGTTTTGTAGAGAATCTGATATTCAATTTTATTCTGCTTTTCATTTTCCTACCTTTAAATTTGTTATGTCTCACTTCACCACTTTGTGAATTTGGTTTTTTTTAAAGTTTGCCTAAAGATTCCTAACACATTTTTGGATAGATTGCTTTATAATGTGGTGCATTTTTGTACACCCTTCTTTTATTTATTTATTTATTTATTTATTTATTTATTTATTTATTTATTCATTCATTCATTCATTCATTCATTCATTCATTCATTCATTCATTGCAGTTATTTCCCAGTTAAAATGCATTGTGGGCATTTTCATATGTATATAATATTTCAATACCTCTTATTTATTATTAAACAAATCTACATAGCTGCCCATCTCATTGAAGGTGATTCTGGATGTGGCCCACAATAAATGAAAAAAAAACCATATGTAAAAAAACCACAGGTTAAAAAAATCACTGTAACACTAAATATTATAAAATCAGAGATACAAACTGTAGGCAAAGAGGGAATAAAAATAGCCAGCTCCATAATGGAGCCAGTTAAGCATGTCACGGGTTCCAATGGAACCTCCAGACCTGATAACATAACCAGGTCTTGAGGACCTTCCAGAATGTCAAAAAGGATGGAAGTAATCTAATTTGGCGGGGGGGGGGTGTGTTTCCATATGGTGGATGCCCTGACAGAGAAGGCATGTTTCCTGGAGCCCACCTAATGTAGGTCCTTAGCTGATAATACCCAGAACATTCCTAGTTTAGATCTATATCTAATGATATGGCTAATGTAACCAGTCATGGAACTAATGGGACCCAGAATCCAGAGCCATTCAGTCTTGCCAGGGTTCAGCTGAAGCCTGTTGTTCCCATCCAGACTCTCACAGCCCCCAGACACTGGGATAGGACCTCTTCCTATGTACTCATGCCTTGAATCATGGAGTTGAGCATCAAGTGAGTTTGAGGTTTCATCTTTGTGAACAAATATAATTATGTCACTAAATTATCTGTATTCTAGCATAGAGGTGTCTGCAATTTAAATCTTGGAGTACTGAATGGAAGTCTTTAAAAAAAAATAGAGATATGAGCAGGGCTTTTTTTCTCATAGAACGCCCAGAACGGAGTTCCGGCACCTTTTTTGGATGGAACCTTGTAGGGTAGGCAAGGCGGGTTGTATGATATGTGTGAGTTCCGGCACCTTTTTTTTTTTTTTTTTTTTACAAAAAATGCACTGGATATGAGTAGAAAGGGGTGAATTGTGACTATTTTTGTGCTAGCTGTTCATCAACCTAGTTCATCCAAAATAAATTTTGGATTGCATTTTTAATGTGCTTTTTAAAAAGGGGGTTTCAGGAAAGGGGAATATGTTCTGTGATTACAATCAGCAACTGTTTTATCAGTTTGGAAAGAGCAAAAAGTTACCATGAAAAACTGATAGGTGATAAAAATTGAAACAGAACTGATAATATAATTAGTTCTATTACTAATTACATTATTAGTTCTGAAGAGAGAGCACATTTAGGAAAGAGCAATGGGAATTGGCTTCTAGAGCAGAAATGGTGCAAGATGAGGATGGTGAGATATGGAAGTGTCACATGTGAAAAACTAAAAGGGGAGTTAAAAAGAAAGAGGGAAGTTTAGATACAGTGTGCACTGAAAATCCCCTTGGGATCTGGGTGTTTAAAACTATTTAAATAACTATTGGTGAAGAAAAGAGAAATATGGATGAATAAAGAATAACAGAGTCAGATGTAATTTTGGAGGTCTTCTAGTCCAACCCACTGCTTAAGCAGAAGATCCTATACGATTCTGGATAAATAGCTATCTAGTCTCTTCTTAAATACCCCCAATGCTGGAGCACCCACAACTTCTGGAGGCAAATTATTCCACTGATTAATTGTTCAAGCTCACAAAATTTCTCCTTAGTTCTAGGTTGGTTCTCTCCTTAGGTTCTATCCATTGCGTCTTGTCTTGCCCTTAGATGCTCTGGAGAATAGGAGAAGAAGACTGCTATCATGTCACCCCTACTCCTTCTCTTCATTAAACTATGCCAGGGGTCTTCAAACTTGGCCCTTTTATGACGTGTGGATTTCAACTCCCAGAATTCCTCAGCCAGCGTGCCTGGATGAGGAATTCTGGGAGTTGAAGTCCACAAGTCATAAAAGGGCCAAGTTTGAAGACCCCTGAACTATGCTATGTTGTTGTTATATTAATTATATTACATCACATCACATTACATTATTAACACATTATATTGTTATGCTATATTGGTGCTATGTTTAGAGAAAGGCATAGAAAGAAATTGGGTGCATGATTTATAGGACAATACAGATGCCGAGGCTGGAGAACAATCCAGGTGACTTATATGGACATAAGAAAGGTAAAGAAGCCACATAAGGTGAGAGCAAGAAGCTGAGGAAAGCCAGCTTACGGGGTAGAGTTTACAGGGCGAGAAAGACAAATGTTCAAGGGTTAAAAAAAATGCCGCACATCCTCCCCACATTCCAGAAAGGTGATAGAGAACTGGCAGCCAGCCAGATGGATTCTGGGAATGGCCTCCTTTAAAAAAACAATCCTCTCCATTTGAGAGCTTGTATCTCTTGTTTGTCTCACTTGTGGAGAAAGGGAACCTTGCCTTTTTGGGATGCTAAATAAAATGAGATGGTTATCTGCCTTCATGAGAGCAATCTGGAGAGCAAAGGCCAGTGATTTACATGAAAGCCTGTAGCATCAGAAAGAGGCTGCCCTTGAATGGCCTGGGATACCCAAACAAAGTATGCTCTCTCCAGGGCTGCCTTCCCAAGGTCTTGCAGAAGGCAATTTATTTAAGTTCCTTCAAGGTATAGAATGGGAGTATAGAGTAAGATATTGATGTATTGGGTCAGCCAAAGGGCAAATTAGTGCAAAAGATTTTACAAACCCTTCCTCTGAACAGTTAAAAAGCAGTTCTATCCGGGCAGGGTTTTTGTTTTGTTTTTTTAGAAAAATATGTATCAGGGTAAAAAATAATTAATCCAGTGTGTAGTACTTTCAAATTAAGATTTAATAGAAGTGTATTTTTACACTTAAAAGTGGTACATTTTAAGTTATTTATTCGTTGGATCTTTTTTTCTTAATTTTTTTTAGCAAATCATGCTTTAACGTTGAGCCTTCGGGGCTCTAAATAAGCAGGGATTGAAAGTTGTAGAGTTTCTAGATGTTTCTTCAATACAGCAAAATTGAGGGATATTTTTGGTGTCAGTGCAAGTAGCCTGCCTCTGACATTGTCAAACAGTATTTTTTTTTCTAATTTAGGTAAGGACTTCTGCTATAGTAATGCTACAGCAAGGCAGGGAGGAAGGGGCGATAACATCATGATCTCATAATGAAGCTTTGTATTTAGAAGTGAGTTAGAAGTGAATTTTGCCAGGTTGCTAAGAACAGCTTTGGTAATTAAGGTTTTTTCCTCCCTCGGTAAAATGAAAGAGAAAAAAAATCATCCATTTTTTCTTTCAGAATAAGCCCACTTCTTGCCAAAAATAACAGAGAATTTGTTTGCCCGTTCCTTAAAATGTAATAATAATAATAACGATAAAGTTGGAAGGGACCTTGGAGGTCATCTAGTCCAACCCCCTGCTCAGGCAGATAACCCTATACCATTTCGGACAAATGGCTGTCCAGTTTCTTCTTGAAAACTTCCAGTGTTGGAGCATTCACTCTTTCTGGAGGCAGGTTGTTCCACTGGTTAATTGTTCTAACTGTCAGGAAGTTTCTCCTTAGTTCTAGGTTGCTTCTCTCTTTGGTTAGCTTCCACCCGTTGCTCCTTGTCCTACCTTCAGGCGCTTTGGAAAATAGCCTGACTCCCTCTTCTTTGGGGCAGCCCCTGAGATATTGGAACACTGCTATCATGTCCCCCCTCGTCCTTCTCTTCATTAAACTAGACATACCCAATTCCAGCAACCGTTCCTCATATGTTTTAGCCTCCAGTCCCCTAATCATCTTTGTTGCTCTTCTCTGTACTCTTTCTAGAGTCTCAACATCTTTTTTATGTGCCAGCATTCTCCTATTTTATGAATAATTTCATGCAGAATGCAGATGAGATTGGGTTATAGATATTTATCACAGCCTTAAAAGAATTTTGATCTTTGTGCCATTCTTTGTGTCTCCCCCATGTTTACATGGGAGAGGCACAAATTTCTTTGACCAAAGAAATGGAAGCCAATTAGCTATTTAAATCCACTGCTAATAAACTAAAGAAAATTACTTCTGAGTCCAGTTTTTCTTACTATCTGATTATTTTTTTCTGTTTAACCTGACAACGTCTTATGAAGATGATAAAGCTTGGAGTTTAAAAAGAAACAAAATATAATTATTTTGTAGAAGGCAGGTCAAAAAAAACTACTCATAAATTGAAACATGGTATTTTTTATCAAATCATTTAAGAGAATTTAGCACTTGAGTCTTATTTAAAGTTTAATTTCACGTTTAGTTAGTATTTCAAAGATATACTGGGAAGTGGTTTGAGATTAAAAACATTTAATCATTTAATACATAAAATATGCCAGATGTCATCTCCATTCCCAGCAATTCATCTGATATCTTTGGCTCCTTTAGGCTGTAGTGTGACCTCTAGAAACTCATTCTCACCTGTTACTGAAAATTGGAAGCATTTGGTTTATCACCAATGTGGTCATTCAGAACAATTTATCTTAAATATAAAAATATCAAGTGAAATATATATGCCCTGTCTGCTAAGGCATTCATATACTTCTTCTGGGCCTTGTGGAAGTATCTAGTTGGTCATCCTATAGCAGTGCCGAGGTCCACAAGAGAGAATTTGGAGGTCCCAAGCCTCCTCTTGTAGACGTTGTCTGGGTCTTCACATCCCGGTCCTGACTTCTGTTTTCGGGAAGAAGCTTGATAATTCCT